GGAATGTAAACTGACCTTTTCCAAACCTGTGGCCACTGTTGAGTTTTCCAAATTTGCTGGCATATTGAGTGTAGCACTTTTACTGCATCGTCTTTTAGGATTTTGAATAGCTCAGCTGGAATACTGTCGCCTCCACTAGCTTTGCTGTTGCTCAGACTACCCAAGGCCCATTTGACTTCACATTCCAGGATGTCTGGCTCGAGGTCAGTGACCACCCCATCGTGGCTATCAGGGATGTTAAGCTCTTTCTTGTATAGTTCTTCTCTTCTTAATCACCTCTTGCCACCTCTTCTTAATCTCTTCTGCCTCTGTTAGGTCCCTGCCATTTTGGTCCTTTATCATGTTCATCTTTACATGAAATATTCCCTGCATAACTCCAATTTTCTTGAAGAAATCTCTGGTCCTCCCTATTTTATTGTTTTCTTCTATTTCTTTGCACTGTTCATTTAAGAAGGCATTCTTATCTCTTCTAGCTATTCTCTGAATTCTGCATTCAATTGTTTGTATCTTTCTCTTTCTCCCTTGCCTTTCGCTGCCCTTCTTTCCTCAGCTATTTGTAAAGCTTCCTCAGACAGCCATTTTGCTTTCTTGCATTTCTTTTTCTTTGGGATTTTATTTATGTATTTATTTATTTATGGATGCATGGATGGATGGATGGAACTTCTATGCCGCCCCATTCGCCAAAGCCTCGGGGCAGCTCACAATCATAAATAAATAACATAATATAAAACAATATAATTTAACAGTATAAATTAAGTCGACCTGGCCAAAGAATAAAATAAATAAATAATATTAACAATTAAATAAATAAAAAGGTCTTCACCTGGCGCCGAAAAACAAATAACGACTGTGCCAGGCGGACCTCTCTGAAGAGCGCATTCCATAGACTGGGCGCCACCGCAGAGAAAGCCCTCCTCCGAGTACTTACCCTCCAAATTTTCTTCACGGAGGGTTCCCGGAATATTGTGATGCTGAATGGTTTGCCTTGGATTCGAACTTGGGACTCCATTTCTTCTGAGGGATTCTTGCCTGCAGTAGTATACCTGATGGTCATCTGAATTAAATTCACCCATTCCTGTCCATTTTAGTTCACTGATTCCTAAGATGTCAATGTTCAGTCTTGTCGTCTCGTTTGACCACATCCAGTTTGCCTTATTCATGGATCTTACATTCCAGGTTCCTATGGAATATAGATCTTTGCAGCATCGGACTGTCCTTTCACCACCAGATACATCTGCAACTGAGTGTCCTTTCGGCTTTGACCCAGTCACTTCATTCTTTCTGGCACTAGTGGTACTAGCCCTCCGCTCTTCCCCAGTAGCATATTGGACACCTTCCGACCTGAGGGGCTCATCTTCCGTCATCATATCTTTTTGCCTTTTGGTACTGTCCATGGGTTTTTCATGGCAAAGATACTGGAGTGGGTTGCTATTTCCTTCTCCAGTGGATCACGTTTTGTCAGAGCTCTCTGCTATGAACTGTTCGTCTTGGGTGACCCTGCACAGCATAGCTCATAGCTTCATTGCGCTACGCAAGACCCTTCGCCACAACAAGGCAGTGATCCATGAAGGAGCACCCCCTCTTACTCAACCTTTAACTAAGCTAAAAAGCCCAAACATTTTAGTCTTTCTCTATAAGGGAGGTGCTCCAGTCTCTTGATTATTTTAGTTGTCTTTTTCGGCACCTTTCAGTTCTAAGATGAGCAGATGGCCTGTAACAGTTATGTGAGAAGTAAGGGCATACATTCAAGTCACACTGAACAGTTAGGTGCAATTAACATATGCCCTATGTGCTCCAAACATTTTAGATAATCACGGGAGCTTTCACTGTCAAGCCCAGCTAAAGTTCTGGATGTCTTTCTCTGCCTTTTTCTGTTCCAAGCACTTGGTGCTTGTAATGTTGTATTACGGAATTGCCAATAAGTGTTTTGTTCATTTGAAGAAGAAATGAAGCTGGTGATACTACAGCTACACTGTTATTAAAAAGAGACCAAAAGAAGTGGGGGAAGGGAGATGGAAAGATAGTCTATTTCCTTTTATGAGACTACTGGATGCTAGAGCTTCTTCTGAACTCACATCCATGATATGAAGCTGGTAGTTTTCATTTTCCATTCTGCAGACACCTTAAGGGATATTACTGCTTTAAACTAGGAGGAAATGACCCTAGTATAACTGTTTTAAAGGCAACCAACAGAGCAAAATTTTGAATCCTGTTACACTGTAGGTGAGGGGGCTATATGTACTTCTTCTGGGATAAGGTTTGTAATAAGATGTGCAACAGGAAAAAAAGTCAAAGATACAGAAGCAATAATTTATACATCACTGTCTATTGAAAATTCGCTCACCGTCACTGGCAATAACCATCCTAAACAAATATATGTATGCAGTATTTTATGATCCAAAAACAGTTAAACAGAAGCAGTTAAATGAACCAAGAACAAATTTCCTCTGGCATTTTTAAAGGAACAATTAGCATGAGTTAATTATAGAAGGGTCTGAAGTAACCTTTAAGAAAACCCATACCTGCTTCTGCAGCATTTCCACTTGCCAGAGTTCCATTTTCTTGCTGAGCTACCAGATTTTTCAGTATTATTTGTGTAGCCCCCAGTCTTGGCAATGTAACATGTGTAAGAAATGGCAAATTGTTTTTCTTGGCAAATGCCTGACTGGTTTCTCTTCTTTTTCTAAGAAAACCACCTTCTGGAAATAGTACAATCCACTTGCGGTCACGGCTCCTGTAATATTTTTCTAGATGTTCCTGGAGAAGCACAAGCTGCCGGTCACGGTAAGCTTTTCCCTAAAATGGAAATGAAAATGGGGATACCTAAGTGAAAAAAAATTAGAAGAACCTCTATTTACAAAAAGCCAGTCACTTAAATGCTTTTTCAAAGAAAATTCCCAAGCACAATAGTTTTAGTTGGTATTAATTTTAGGGCTTGGGAAAAAAAACTTTTAATTTCTATGAAAATGACTGTTATCTAAGCATCTTCGTGGCACTACAAAGGACTCCTTTCCACAAAGTGTTCGGGCCAGAAGTGACCAATACAATACTCCTGGAAAGCATTTATATACATGACCACTTAATGCAAAAACTTCTGTGTGATCCTGGAAAGAGGTGGGCACCTTGTGGTCCTCCAAATGCTCCAGCCTATACTTTCTAGCAGCCCAAGCCTGCATAGCCAATGCTAAGGGATCACTGAGGCTAAAGGCCAAAATATCTTTAAGAAAGATTCAGAAAAATTACAAAGGGCCTGGAGAACGGCAACAAAGACGATCCAGGTTTGGAACCACTGCCCTATGAGGAGAGACTGAGAAAACTGGGCATGTTCAGCCTTGAGAAAAGAAAACCGAGGGGAGACATTATATCCCTATATAAATACCTCAAAGGCTGTCACAAAGAAGGTGGTCAAGATCTCTTCTCACTGATCCCAGATACAGAATAATCAATTCAAGTTGTGACAACTCAGATATCTAGTCTATCATGAAAAGCTTCCTCACTGTCAGAGCAATACAACAGTGGAACCAGCTGCCTGGAGAGGCGGTGGGCTCTCCCACACTAGAGACATTCAAAAAGAAACTGGAAAACCATCTGAGTGGGATGGTGTAACATGGTGTCCTACAACAGCAGGGGGTTGGACTCAATGGCCTTCATAGCCCCTTCCAACTCTACTATTCAATGATTCTATGATCTAGAGGGTGATATGTTACCCATTAAGTTTAGGCTGTCTCCTCACAACAACAAGGTCCCTCCCTTACTAAAGGACATGGATACACATTAACTTCAGAGAGTAAAGAAATTGGTTGGTTTGTTCAGATAACTTAATCTCAGGAGAATGATAATGAGGTCAATGTCCATAATTTCTTACAGACAGTAAGGTATATATCATATGAGTCACATAACCTTTTTCTTCATAGACAGTAATGTATAATGATACCTCTTCTGTTGAGTAACTTGGCAATAATCTCAGATCTAGCAACTTTAGCAAAATTTTTGGATGTTGGATCCAAAGGACAGTTTCCAATACTGCTGCTTGTCCTTCACTCTGTCTCTCGTATGTGCAAGTCCAAATGCTAACACAATAGAGATCAATTCCAGGAACAAGCTGAAAAGCTCATTTCTAGAACAAGCCAGGCCAACACAGCTCCTATACAGACTATTTAATACCAACACAGCATTTTTTAAGAGAGAAACTTTGTATTTATTCTTTTTTAAAAAATAATCAACTTTATTCATCATTTTATATTCACATCATTCCAATCCCCACTTAATCAAAATTTGCAGCATTCTGATCATTTCAGGATGCCAAACATTCTAAGCTTCTCTGGCTCCAATTAACAGTATTAAAAAACAAGCAGTGTCTACTATGCAGACACTATAATGCCAAGCGATGAGTTGGTGTTATGAGAAGAAGCCTCAGGTGTGCATGTTTTTTCATCTCCAACTTTTGCATGAAAGATTAGAAGTTACTGTCCAAATCCAACAAACCATCGTATGCAGCAAACTGAGATTGGAAGAGTCTGAGCACGGTGTGAAAGAGGAGGTGGGAATGTGTGAGCCAGAGGCTCATGCCTGCTCATAACAACAAACCATGGTGTTAGAATTAGCTATTGGAAAGTTTTCCACAACCCTCTCTCCTAAGCACTCCCACTCTCTTTTATCTTCTATGACTAAGTACTAAGGTTCACTGTGAAAATATTTTAGACATTATGACTAACTACTGTAGCAAATTACGCATGTGTATTCCCAAAAAGCAAAATATGCCACAAACATATTATTAACCATTACCTGTCTTATAAAGAAATCTCCATGAATTAGAGATACAATTCCAAAGTTTGTATATTTAAAAATATGATCCATCAGCCACATCATCTGACGAACAACCTGAGAAAGTTCAGATAAGAACTTGTCAGTGTATTCTGCATTCAAAGAAAAACAATTTCAGAAAAAAGGTGCTGTATTTAACATGGTGTATGTGTGTGCAAACACATTTTACAAGCCCTTATGAGAAAGTGAGCAGAAATCAATTTTCCATTCTAAGTAGAAGACTGAATATTCTCATGTCCAAATGTTACCATTAAAAGTCTATTAGCTTTCAGTAAGGGGTTATTTGCAGAACCATTATTTCCCTGAATACTATTTCTTTCCTGTATCTGTTCTCTTTGAAACATCTGCCCTTTGTGTAGAGTTGAATTCAACCAAAACCTTCCCTCCTCCTCTCCCTTTAAGATAGATTCTTACTCCATCCTCAAGGGGCTCCTCCTGCTTGAGGGCTAGATGGTAGGAACATCAGACACTTCTAAATTGGTCTGCTCATTTCACCTGCCATCTCCTGACAACATCAAGGAACTCCCTCCTCATCTCCCCTGAACCACAGCCTTGCAATGTCTCCCTACTTTTCCAAGGCAGGTCAGTTCCCATACCCCAATGATGGTGAACCTTTTAGAGACAGAGTACCCAAACTGCAACCCAAAACCCACTTATTTATCGCAAAGTGCCAACACTGCAATAAAACCTGAATATTGAGGTTTTAGTTTATTAAAAACAACTCACAGCCAGTCCAAGCAATCTCTCTCTCTCTCTCTCAATCCTTGGCAGCACACTGACCGGCCATGAGAAAGTTCGGACAAGTCGTGACTAATGAGTCACAGCTTGTGACATAATTGCCTGGTGCTGCTACTCCTTTACGAGCATGCGCATGGCCCCTAAGTGTGGTGTTATCTGATGCTTGGCTGCTGGGGCGATGCTGGGGCGACTTGGTTCACATGCTGACAGAGAGGGCGCTGTGTGCCCGCTGTGGCATGCATGCCATAGGTTCGCCACCACTGCGCCACCCTGTCTGACAATCTTCAAGAGGTAAACTTGAAACTGCAACTGAAATTAACAAATACAATATAGTACTGTATACATCATGATATTCCCTCTGTTATAGATCTAGGTAAACAGACAGGTCTTTAGAACCGCTTGAATGATGGAATCTGATGAACATCAGATCAACTGGAACAGAATTCCACAAGCAGGGAGCCACCACTAAGAAGAGCCTATCCCTGCTGCCCACAGCCTAATTGCTTATACAGACGGGAACAGAAGCAAACCATCCAATATTGATCTTAGAATGCAGACAAGTTGGTGCAGTAAAGTTTGTCCTTAGCATAACTTAGACCCAAACTTTTTAGGGCTTTAAAAGATGAATATCCAGCATTTAAAATTGGACATGGGATAAAAGTGGCAGCCAGTGTCACTGGTCTTCTACACAGGCATGCACGCATTCCAGTTGCTTACAACCAAGAGCTTCCATATTTTGTACTACCTGAAGCTTCCCGAACATCTATGGACTGCTGAAGAATGATCAACTCTCTTCAGACAAAGTTGCAGTTACCATACCTGCCTAAGCTGGTAAAAAGCACTACTGGACACTGCTGCCATCTGAACTTCCTCAGTTACCATGGTGTCCAAGAGAACTCTAGCCCTGTGTTGTTGGTTCCCCAGAATTTTTAAAAATGGACTGATAGCACGAATATGATTTTAGAGTGTTGCACTAGAAGAAATAATTAAATACTAAATCAGATGCTCCTGATTTTAACAGTAAATTTGTCTTAAGTCTCAGGAGTAAAGATCACAATTCCCAAACAAACCTCTCACTATCACATTTTATCATTTATATGTAGAAGTAAGATATATGAACATTTTATAATGAACGGCTAGAGCCACTCACTGTGTATTATTTGGCAGCCATTGCCTCCAATATTTGCAAAAGCGTTTTCCCACTTGAATGTCCACTGCTTTGCTTTCTGGCCAACATCTGCTATGCAACTTTAACTTAAACAACTCTGCTAACAAGGAGGAAAAATGGTCTGTTTTGTTGTTGTTGTTGCATCTTCCCAAGAATTGTTTGGCTCTTGGACCACCTGAACTTTTTTAAACATTTCTAGATCTGCAATCACCTGTGCTATTTGTGTGTTCTCCTTCTCAAATCTAGTCATCTGTAGGTTGTGAGTAAGCTGTAGGGGAAAAGTGTGACTAAAATGTTGCTGATGTGGATTTGTGCCTTGCGGTGGGTTAGAGGTGAGGGTGGGGAACTCTGCTGTTATTCTACATCTCCTCTCCTCTCTCACAGAATTTCCAAGAGGACCTACCCAGTATATACATACAAAAATAGCATACCGTGCCTTTGTCCTGAAGGCACATCATTAGAGTGCAAACATCTCCTGTTGCTTGATGGTTCACTAGCATCACAGCTTCATCTTCTGATATTGTTTTGACATCATCTCCCCATTCTATGACTATTTAGAGAGAGAGAGAGAGAACTTAAAATCACATATTTCAAGTAACAAGCCAATTGCCATTAGAAGCCATTTTAAATTGGTATATAAAGTTAAATTTGAACTAAGCAAAGTTATTTCCTTTATCATGACAGAATCAGGCTTGTTTTTCAGCAATATATCTCATATATATTCAAGAGACGTTTTAGCAAACTATATTACTTTGTATTTTTAAAAGAACAAGCAAGGATTTCCCCTCACGACACTGCATCATAGCTGTTAAACTCAGAGATTGCAGGATGCATATAAACTATTAGATTTAACAGGTTAATAGTCAGCTTGAAATTTAACAATATTTTTATTACTTAATTTATATAATATACAGGGAACCATGATCTCAACATTGGAGAGATAAGAAAAAAGCAGGTTGCTTACCTGTAACTGATGTTCTTCGAGTGGCCATCTGTGCAGTCACACATATGGGTACTGCGCCTGCGCAGTGCCTGTGGCTGGAAGATTGACAGCTAACGGTTTTTGGCGGGAAGCTCCGCTCCCCCTCCCCCCGTGGCCTATAAAGAGCGGAGCGTCCGCCATTTTGTTCAGTCTTTGCGACCGAACGTATGCTATCTTATTGAAAAAACTTTGTTTGTTTGTTTGTTTTGATGTTGGTACCATGAAAAAGGGCATAGTCGGTACCGAAAGATGCATTCACTCACCGACACCGAGCGGTCGATGCATCCACTCACTGACACCGAGCGGGGCCGGCGGGTGGGATGTGTGACTGCACAGATGGCCACTCGAAGAACATCAGTTACAGGTAAGCAACCTGCTTTTCTTCGTCGTGGCCTCTGTGCATCACACATATGGGCAGATTAACAAGCTTACCATAAAGGAGGAGGGAAGGTGTCCTCATTGAAGAACGGAGGAGAGAACAGCTCTACCGAAGGAGCAATCCCATTGAGCTCGAACATCGAGACGGTAGTGCCAGGCGAAGGTGCAAGGGTTAGTCCAAGTAGCGGCTCGGCAGATGTCATCAATCGGGACCCCGGATGCGAATGCAGACGAGGTTGCAACAGCTCTAGCAGAATGGCCTCGAGGAACTGAAGGCAGTTCGAGCTTAGCTAATTGATAGCATAAGACTATAGTGCGGACTATCCACTTAGAAAGTCTCTGCGGAGTGACTGGATCGCCCTGATCCCTAGCAGAATATTTGATGAATAGTTTATTGGATCGTCGAATAGACTCCGTTCGCGATCGGTAGAAGGCTAAGCAACGGCGAACATCGAGTGAATGCAAAGATCTTTCCAATGGAGTCGACAGTGACGGAAAAAAGGCAGGCAGCACAATGTCTTGTCCCGTATGGAAAGGTGTAGACACTTTAGGCAAAAAAGACGGGTCGAGGCATAAAACGACCTTCTCCCTGTGAAAATTTAAATAAGGAGGGTCTATGCGAAGAGCGCAAAGTTCACTGGCCCTCCGGGCTGAAGTGACAGCTACAAGAAACGCCGTCTTCCGAGAGACCAATTGAAGATCCACCGTCGCCAACGTTTCAAAGGGGACCTTCATAAGGGCCTGCAGAACTACAGAGAGGCTCCATGTGGGCATAACCGGTCTAACTGATGGGTAAAGATTATACAGTCCCTTCAAAAATCTTTTGAGGATAGGATGAGAAAACAGAGGTGATCCGTCGACTAAGCCACGGTAGTAGGCTATTGCAGCTGTATACACTTTAATGGACGACGGCTTCAGTCCGGAATGGTGCAATTCCAGGAGGAACTGAAGAATCTGTTGAATGGATGAGAGGAATGGAGAGAACGAACGCGACTCGGCAAAGGCGGAAAAACGTTTCCATTTAGCCTTATATGACTTCCTTGTGGACGGCTTTAAGGCAGAGTCGATGATCTGCTGAATATCAGGGTGCAAAAATGTCGGATTCGGATTCGATGGGTCTTGTCTCGAACCGGATAGTACAGAGAGACCAGAGAGGGGGGAAGCACCCGAGTGATTGGGTTCGACAATCGGATCTGAGGTGGTCGAAGTCATCGTCGGTACCGACAGATTAGTAGAAGCTGTCAGATTCATAACTTTCGAAACCGTCGTCGGCACCGATGGAACGTCAATCATCGAATTCGCCACGCTGTTAGGTTCAATGAGAGCAAATCTGGGTGGCAAAGTGTGCCGTCCACCTGTGTTATAAGATATGGGATGGAAGATGAAGAAATTCCCCACAAGAGATGCCAAGTGGTTTCGCAAACCATGCTTGACGTGGCCACCAAGGAGCAACTAGTATCCCCGATGCTCGGTCCTGCACTATCTTTGCTATGACCCTCATCAGAAGAGGGATCGGAGGGGAAGGCATAGAAGTTCATATTGTTCCAAGGGATCATGAATGTGTCCCCTAGGGATGCGTGTCCGATTCCCGCTCTCGAACAGTAAGCCTCGCACACCCTGTTCTGTTGGGTAGCGAATAAGTCCACGACAGGAAACCCCCAGCACCGGAAAAGGTGGCTGCGCGTACGGGGATCCAGTTCCCACTCGTGAGAGGTGAACATGTGCCTGCTGAGAAGATCCGCCTGCACATTGTCTACACCAGCTAGATGAACAGCCATCAGCGTGATGTGCCTCCGGATGCACCAGTCCCTAATTTTCATAGAAAGCCTGGCTAGAGTCGGTGACTTTGTTCCCCCTTGCTTGTTCAGATAAAAGACGGTAGCTATATTGTCCGAAGTTATCTGAACGATCTGATGATGAAGGATGTCCTCGAAAGAGCGCAGGGCTTTGAAAACTGCCAGTAGTTCTAGGAAGTTGATATGATTTGTGGATTCTAGATGATTCCACGTACTCTGGGTAGATGGGCCGGAGCATATCGCTCCCCATCCTAGAAGAGACGCGTTGGTGCCAAGCGTTTTCGTAGGAGGTCGCGCCCTGAAGGGGACTCCTATCATAAGATTGGTCTGTTCCAACCACCAACGCAGAGAGTGAAGCACGGAAGTTGGGATCCGAATCAGTCTCGACTGCGGATTTCTTTGAGGATGGTACACCTTGTTGAAAAAGAGTTGCAGTGGGCGAAGCCGAAGCCTGGCATGTGGTACTATGGCAACTGAGGAAGCCATATGCCCCAGGATCCTCTGGATAGACCTCGCTGGGACTGTTCCCTCTCGTCGGATTTGATGGATGTGGCGAGCAAGAGTCTGTTGTCTGTCCTGAGGGAGGAAGGCTTTTTCCAACGTCGAATCCAAGCGGGCTCCAATGAAGGTGAGCGTCTCTGTCGGGAGAAGAGAAGATTTCTCGGTATTAATACGTAGGCCTAGGATATTGAGCAAGGCACAAGTTGTATGGATGGCCACAAGGAGTCCTTCTCTGGACTGCTACACCAACAGCCAGTCATCGAGGTACGGATAAATTTGTATGCCCTGGAGGTGTAGGAAGGCACAGACAGGAGCCATGCACTTGGTAAAAACCCTCGGAGCCGTAGCCAGTCCAAAAGGCAAAACTGTAAACTCATAAAGTTGGTTTGCAACCGCAAAACGAAGGAAATGCTTGTAACTTGGGTGAATTGAAATATGGAAGTAGGCGTCCTTCAAGTCCAATGAGGCGAACCAATCCTCTCTCCTTAGCAATGGCAAAATGTTTTGAAGGGTAGTCATACGAAACTTTTTTGGTACAATAAACTTATTTAAGTTCCATAAGTCCAAAATTGGACGTAGACCACCATCCCGCTTAGGGACCGTGAAGTATCTGGAATAGAATCCGTGGAGTCCATCAGATGGGAATACTCGACAAATCGCTCCTTTACGAAGAAGTTGATGTATTTCGTTGAGCAGTACCAGTGAACATGAAGTGGACTGGATAGGACTCGACGGAGGAACAATGTCGAATTCTATTCGATAGCCATGTTGAACGATGGACAATACCCACCCATCAGATGTGATGGACTCCCAAATGGAGAGTCGGCTTCGAAGCCAATCCCCAGATGAGAGTGGGGTGGGTATTGGTGGAGCGTGAGGAATGGTTTGCCAGTCCCGTCAACGTTGCCTCCGATCATTGAAATGACGGTGGCCTTGTTGGAAGCATTGTTGGGGCTGAGGACGGCGGCGCTGCTGTTGCTGTTGCTGGTGGTCTTGTGGCTGCTGCCTCGGTTGATATGATTGCCTGTAGGATGGACGATTCCAGGACCACTTACGTCTGGCATGGGACTGTATCTCCATCCTGCGTGCCATCATCCTCGATTCATGCAGCTTCTTGAGCTTGTGGTCGGCGCGAGAATGGAAAAGCCCGGATCCATCGAAAGGCATTTCCTCGATCCGGCACTTGGTTTCTTCCGGAAAATTACAATTCCAAAGCCATGCATGCCTTCGGAGAGAAACGGCACCGACCAAGGCCCGTGAGTCAGTATCCACGTGGTGCCTCGCCGTGGATAACTGCTGCACCACGACCTGCATGGCTTCCTTAATCAGGACCTTCGCGAGGTCACCCTGGTGGTCCAGGAGGGTGGAGGCGACATTGTGCAGGCACTGCATAATAAAGTATTGATACCTCGCCAACGTTGCCTCGTAATTTGATATACGGAGCCCCAGGCCTGAAGCAGCGTAGACTCACCTAGCCAGGGAGTCTATTTTTCGGCCCTCTTTAGCCCTCGGTGCCGTGTGCCCTCTTGCCTCTCTGCCCTGCGAGGATTCAACAACCGCAGAGTTCGGTTTGGGATGTCGGAGGAGGAAGGGGATGTCCTCCTCCCAAACCCTGTACATCGACTCATATCTCCTGGACATCGGCCGAGGATGTGATGGCAGGTCCCAGGGCTGCGTCATCGCCTGCCGCAAGGTGGTTATGAGCGGCAGGACGATGGATGTCGATTGCTCCCCACAGACAACATTGTAGAACTTGTCCGTCGTCGGTCCCAGGTGCTGGGCAGCGTCGATGTCCAGGGACTGGACAAGTCTAGACATCAGCTCTGAGAAGGAGACGTGGGACTCATCAGGCGACGCAGGACCCTGGGATGTCACAGCGACGTCCGGAGAGGTTGAG